TTAGACCCCCGATACATAACCAAAGACCTTGCCTAGTATCCCTGCAACTGCTTGGGGAATTTTTATTAAGTAAAGGCATCATTAAAGTGGACAGAATGATGAAGTTTAATGAGCATCCTTCTGCCTTATTGTTAGTTTTGCTGTTGCGGCCAGAGTGCTCGCATTTGTTACCCTCATTGGGGCAAGCAAAGGACGGCATAAGATTCGTGGCTAAGCTTAGCATCTTTTGGGGACTTGTCAATTTGCGCATTAGACATGCTTAGGTGTATTTTGTGGTAAAGAACAGCAAAGCCACAAAATCTTATTATTAAGAGTTTTTTAATGTATTTTCAGACTTGACATTAAAATCCCCTAGAAAACTATTTGCCCTTTCCCTTAATGAGGAAGCTGCACACTACACTGGAGGTCTGGCTGAACTGTTGTTTGGAGAGACACTGCCATTTATCAGTTACGATTATAATGCCATCAGACTTTTTAGTTGCCACCCAGCATAATTACCGACGCCTGAAAGACATGAAATATTGGTATTTTGCTACAGTGTCCTCATTGCTCCAGAGGGATTTTGCGTGGCACATCCCATTTAAATATTAACATCTCCATACCAGTAGAGAAAAGTAATCAGCAAAGTTGTATTTTGACTTGGACAATTTTAATAATCCATCGCTAATGGGCGAAAGATGTAAAGAGGTGACAGAGAAGATGAAGTCGATGTTAGAATTACTCAGATTTGGCTTTGTTTATAAAAATGTTCAGACAGTCTCATTGTACACTATAGATTCTGATCATAATTCATATATATGTCAGGGTAAACAGGAAGGCAAAATTATAAGCAGCCTGCGCCGAGCTCAGTGGTCATTCTTTTGGCCTTGCTTTGCTACTTAGACAGCACAACCCATCAAATTGTGGCCATGCAATATAAGTGATTGCCTGCTCATAATTTGTTTTATACTCCTTATCTGTCTTCAAGACTTGTCATTGCAAATCATTAGTGAGTTATTTTCAACATTGCTTTCCACAGCATGATTGTGAAATTCTCCCTTTTTAGTAGCAAATTCACCAAAAAGAAGATAGATTTTGTATGGTAGCTATTTCAGACCTCATATTTTAATTTCTTCTGCTTCACTATTGGATCCCCATTACTTGGGTGCAATAACAACGAAAACATTATTTGTGATGTTGGAGTTGAGCTCAAAAACAAAGTATAAAAATTGCATTAAGGAGTCCCTGAGTTACAAGCATCCAACTTACAAACGACTCAAGTTAAGAATGGAGGGGAGACCACAGTAAGTGAGAGAAATCTACCCTTAGGAAGGGATATTCACTCCTGAAAGAGTTATCATGGGGAATAGGTGTCTCCACTGAAGCTTTCTCACCAATCCTTGTTTCCATAACAAGCCACATTTCCCAGTTATCACAGAGACAGAAAGGGAGGTAAAATCTTCTAAACAAGTGCCCAGGGGTGTTAACTCTTTCCCTATGCTATCCAAAGCATAGGAAAAATGTAAACTTGCCTGGTTGACAAAAATGTTCCTGTTCTGACTTACATATAAATTCAACTTAAAAACAAACCTACAGATCCTGTCTGTTTTGTAACTTGGGGAGTTTCTGTCTACAGCTTTTCATTTGTACCTTATTAACCTCTTAGAGATTATGACATAATTATGACAATGCATGGCTAGTTCGGGTACTCAAAGACTCCCTGCTACAACCAACTGAATGTATGTCTGTGTGTAAAAATCTAGGACCATTTATCTCCTGGCACTTACTCCCTTTGCCTATGCTGCAGAGATGATAGGTTGTAACAAGGATGCCTCCTTCAGGTGTGGGATTTTTAGGAGAATGTATCTTGTATTGTTACTATCAGGTCCCATCCAAACCTGTTTCTGGTTGAGTGGCTATAGGCTCATAGGAAGTTGCCTCATATTGTGAAAGACCATTAGCCCAACTTACACAATATTACAAGTTGATAATCCCTTCACCAAAAAACTTGGGATCAGAAACGTTTTGGATTTTTTTTCCTTCGGATTTTGGAATATTTCTACATAATGTGAAATTTTGTAGACAGAACGCAAGTGTAAACAACAAATTCATTTATTATCCATATGTCTCTTTTATGCATAGCCTGATGGTAATTTTATGCACAGTATTTTTAATAGTTATATCTATGAAACAAAGGTGATGTACATTGAATCACCATAAAGCAAAAGGTCTTATAATCTCAGCTACTCATGTGGATAATTTTGGAGTTTGGAGCATGTCAGATTTTAGATTTTCAGAAAAGGAAGTGATACTCGCCTTATTTATTTATTGAATTTCTATCCCCACCTTTCTCTCAAAGTGAGATCCATTAATGTATCTGCCCACACTGGAAGCATTACTCCAGGGTCTAAGGAAAACTTGTTTCTCAGCTACACTTGGAGATGTCAGGTTTGAATCTGGGACCTTTTTTCCTCATCCACAAAAGGAAAATGTCATGATTCTCACACATTTAAAACATAACTCAGATTTGGTTTTGAAAACGTGCAAACATATAAGGTAGTAACTTTCTCGAGCTATTGCCATAGTTAGTGTGTGCACAACCTTTCTCCGCATAAGAAAGTTTAACAATCTCTTTTTGTATTGACACAACTGAGCAGCCTCCAAAAAGCACTTTGTCAACCAAGCAAGTTTACATTTGCATCCTGCTTGTCTAGAAGGCGTTCAATTTTGGTTTTAGTAGGAATTACTCATAAATTATCCATTAATTGCTCTCTGGTGTTTAGTGTAAATCCTCTCAGCCTTATAGTCCATTTAGCTTTCCTGTGAGTGCCAGCAATCTTAATTGTGGGATACTTCGTCAACATTTAATCAGGACTCTGTATTAATGTGGCATTGATGTGTTGGTGCCTCTCTTGCTCCAATCCATCATGTGTGCACAGCCAGGGAAGAGTCTGACACCATTGCTCTGTGTCACTTTATCAAGCCCTCGAGTACTCTGGTTAGGCAGCAGGCTCAATTCCCTTTACATCTGCACTCCATCTTGCCAGTTCAGCCCAATTTTTGTCAATGTCTCCAAAGGTTATGGATTTAAGGAACAACTTCCAACCCCAGAAAAAACTTGTGTATTACAGAAAAGTCTTAGGCCTTATTTTGGTTTGAGCAGGAATGTTAAGATATATGGTAAACTTGCCACGTATGCTCATGTATAAATCTAGAAAACTTGGCAAATCCCCCATGGGCAAGGGTCTAGAGCACAGGTGGTCTCTCTCACAGCTCCAAGAATCTTGTCCATGTATTCAGGCTGAACCTGCTGAAATGAATCCATTAAAATAAGACAGACAAGTGCCTCGGGTACATTTATTGGTACTGCCATAAGGGTGGCATCCAAGTCAGAGCATATCTGAGCGACTTTATCTGCAAAATGATGCGCGAACTTGCCGCATCGAGTAGTCAAGTGGTCAGGGGACTCCCCCTGAGACCACCTGAAACAACTCAACTGGTCTATTCATTGCAAGTGCTATGCAGGCAGTCAAGAAAGCCTTCTTGACTGGCTTGAATGTCACAAAATAGGCCATAAGTGAGGCTCTAGCCTGTTCTCGGTCAGATTCGTCCTGAGTCCTCCACCAGCAACACTCTAGTCTCTGTCATGCTTGCTTCATCACTGCCAGCTCCCTGGTAAACCGAGGAGCTGAATTGGTTCTTCTGAGAGGGGACGTTCAAGGGTGATCATGTCCACTGCCCTGGTTTTTTCTGTGTTCCAGAGATTGACAGTAAAATCGCCAAAAGATATGAATATTTCCGGATCCATAAGTCTTCTGCAGCGGACCATTTTAATGGGTCCCCCACCCCTGCAGAGGTTAGAGGCTGTGGTTAGTCTAAACCTGATTAGGTTATGGTTGGCCCATGACAATGGAAAAATAGAAAGTTCCTTGACACTGACATTTCCATCCCCATATTTATTGAAAACTAGGTCCAAAGTGTATCCAGCTGCATAAGTGGGCCCCGATATCATTTGAGACAGCCCCATGGTTGTTATGATGGCCATGAAGTCCTGAGCGAGCCCAGACAGGATGGACTAGGCATGGATGTTAAAGTCCCCCAGCACAATTAGCCGTTGAGACTCCAATGCCAGGCCTGAGACCACCCCTGCTAGCTCAGGTAGGGAGACTGTTATGCAGTGGGGTGGGCGGTACACAAGCAGAATCCCCAATGTGTCCCGGTTATCCACTTTGAGATAGATACAATCAAACCTAAGCAATTGCGGTATAGAGCACCTGACCAGGGAGATGGAATCACAATAGACCACAGCCACCTCGCCTGCCTGCCCCCCAGGCCTAGCCTGCTGGTGCACTCGGAAACCGGGAGGACAAAGCTGGTTAAGGTTAACTCCCCCCTCCCCTCACTCCACCAGTTTATCCAACCAGGTTTCAGTGATGCAAGCCAAGTCCAGATGTTCATCCAGGATCAAGTTCTTGATGGCTGCTGTGTTATCATTTCTGGACCTGTCATTTAACAGCAGGAATTTAAGCCTGCTGTTAAAATGACAGGGGGCCTGTCATTTTGGCTATCTAACATCTCAAGTTGAGGGACACTACAAAGTCACAAGGGCTTTGTTACACCCACCCCCCACCCCAGGATGGCACAATGATCTCTGATCATTGCTCAAGACAGCTAAGGCTTCTGGGAGTTGGAAGTCCAAAACAGCTAGAGGATCAGAGTTTGGAAATCACTGGCTTAGACCATCCCAGGAGAACCTAAAGGAAGCACTGATCTCCTCTACTCTCCTGGCCTCCTGAGTGGCATTGTTGTTTTCACCGCTCCACAGAATGATCTTCAATTTATCCATAAGCCATATCAAAATCCATAATTTTGTTCCCAAAACCTGCCCTTGGCTTATACATAAGGTCAATTTATACATGATACTTTATTTTTATAGAATATATTTGCTTCTTTTGAGGAATTTTTTTCTGTCTTATGTTCAATGATGGGACCTCAACACTGTTTTTGTTCTTCCTTTCTAGTCTTTATGGCAGACACATGCAGGCGAACCCTGAACCTCCAAAGAAGAACAATGACAAATCCAAGAAGATCAGCCGCAAGCCTCTAGCTGCCAAGAACAAATAAACCGCCAACAATATGCCATTCTTACAAAACACGTTGCTTCGCATGTGTCTATTTTTTAGACGTATTATTTACCAAAAGAGGTTGTTGTTTTATATGCTAAAAGCAAGAATATCTTTTGATATCTAGCACAGCTAGTCACAAAGTATACTCTGCCTTGGTTAATTAATCCATTATTATAATCCATTATTGGAAATATTGCCTGTTAAGGGCTTAAACCAGGCAACAATTTAATCTGCCATAAATCATTTTTCCTGTTCTTAAAACATTCAGGGGGAGGGATGACTTAACTACTGTATGACTTTGATTCCAAGACACACTTTTCCCTCATATAGTCATCTCTAAAAATGAAGTGCATCTTAGAATTGCAGGTGCTTCTTATATATTTCTTTTGTTCGTGGTGGTGCTGAAATTAGTGTGCGCCGTTCAGTCATTGGCATCTTAGAATGGAAGAAATACGGTAATTCATACCACCAGCTAAAATTCATTGTCCACCAGACCATGTATCACTCATATTTTATGTACTACTCTAAATTTATTAATAAAACAGTTTTGTACCATGTGTTGTTTTGTTCTCTCCTTTCCTTCACCCCCACTCCCTTGGCCAGTTTAAATTATCTGATGTCCCTGCCTTCAAGGAAGTATTTTCCATTATGTCTAGTCCAGCTTTAAAAGTGCATCATTAGAATAAAAATGCTTGTTTGATTGATTAGGCAAAGACACTTTTTAAAGTATTCTTGAGAAGACTTGTGAAGCTGTCTGACACTGAATCTCAAAGTGTGCACTTGAAGCCTCCTATATATTTCAAACCCTATATAATTGCTAAAGACCAATGTAAACCAATCTCTGAATAATAATAATAATAATAATAATAATAATAATGTTTATTATCTGCCTCTCCTGATGACTCAAGGTGGGGTATAACAAAGTTAAAAAACATGAACATAAAATATATACAATAATTTATATGAACTTGCATGATTTTAAATGATTAATGTTTTAATTAACTTTTAATTGTAATTGTTATTTATAAATTTGTTTTAATGGCATCAAATGGTTGCCTGCTGTGAAGCTGCCCTGAGTCCCCCTCGGGGGTGAGAAGGACGGGATACAAATATGCTAAATAAATAAATAAATACATTTACATAGATCAAATACACAAACCAAACACAGATATAGAATTGACACATAGTAGCAATAAAATGTAAATCAGAACTCATGATTGAAAGTTCACTAAATAGGCCTTCCCAAAAGAGATGGCTCTTCAATTGCATTTTAAATTCCAACACCTCATTTAGCTGTCAGAGGTCTTCTGGCAGGTCATTCCACAGTCGTGGTCCAGCTGATGAAAAGTTGCCAGTTGGGTTCTGGCTGGTTGAAATAAGCATCTGCCAGAGGGTGTCCTAAAGGGCAGATTGTAAGGGAGGAGGCGATCCTGTAGGTAACCTGGACCCAAGCCATGTAGGGCTTTCAAGTCAAAACCAACACTTTGTACTTTGCCCAGAAACTAATTGGCAACCAGTGGAGTCATTGCAATATAGGTGTAATATGCTCAGTCCTGGATGTTCCTGTAACCGATCTGGCATATGCCCCCCCCCCCCAATACTGGAAACTGGCTGAAATCAAAACTGGGAGTAATGTAATGTCACTGGTTATGTTGGGTGATTCTCACACACACACCCCAATACTGAAAACTGGCTGAAATCAAAACAGGGAGTAATGTAATGTCACTGGTCATGTTGGTTATTCTCACCACAGAATGTGGAAGTGAAAATTGTCCCTCTTCTACACTTGCTCACCCCTGTCATAGGATGTTGCCATGATATTTATATTAGATTCAAAGGCTGTAACTGTGTAGTGTGAAGGCATCATATATACTTGTCTGTTTTACTGTTTAATTTTTCAATCTCAGCTCTATTCACTGTAATTAGTAAGGTCTTCAGGTAAATGATAGAATATTCACCAAGGATTCTAGGAATTATAATACAGACAATTTCCTATCTAAGCCTTGAGTTCAACTGGTAAGTAGCTTCATGTTTACTTGATATAAGAAGTGTTTTAGGCACTCTTGTAATGGAAGAAGTCAACCATCGGAATTGCACAAAATCTTGGATAAATCCATAGGAATCTTTTTCTGTTATTCATAAACCAAGAAGAATCAACACAGGCTCAGTCATTTACATGATGTTTAAGAGGGCCACTCTTTAATACTTCAAAATGCCAAAAGAAAAGGCAACTGAACAAAAAAGTTTAGTTTCATTTTTGAAAGCAGCACCATATATTTTGTTTTCAGTGTGAGTCAGTTAAAACATGGAGCTTTCTGTGCAAGATGTGATAAATTTTAATCAGCTTCCCTTCTTTTTTTACTACTGTGTCATAATTCTTCCCTACCCCCACTTCTCTCTTCCTCTTAAATTTAGGTGAAAAACTGTTATCTCTGAGAAGGGCTGTCAGCTGCCAAATTTAATATTTTGGAAGAAACTTTCTCATTTGAAGGAAAAGTTCCTGCCAACGTTTAATTGTTTTTCAATGTAAGAAACAAGAGAGGAACCTAAAGAACATTTAATCTCTTCTGTATGTAAAAATCTTGGTTTGAAGGATTGTGTTAAATTAGGGCGTGTGAATTTTGCCAAAGGACGTATTTTTATCTCCATAGAGCCGGTACCACATCCAAACCTAGAAGCCATAGTTGGGAGGCGATTTAAGAACCTAAACTGACATTGGAAATAATGTTTTCTCAACCCCTCCTCCCTTCTTTTAATCATGGTAAGAAAAATATGGCAACAGTATTAATGAAATTGGATGTAGTTTCTAGCCAGTAGCAATTTATATAGCTAAAGAAAAGATGAATTGAGATGGAATGCAAATGGAAATGGGATGCATTCATAATTTTGAGCCTAATGTCAAGATCATCTTATCTTGTTTTCTCCCTGCTGAGTTCAAATTCTTAGCAACCAGATGGAGATCTTTTCATGTCATTCAGCAAGTGGGCCCAGACTCCCAATATGATGTAACTCTAATATGGTTGGTCCCCAAGGTGTGTTGGTGTACATGGGTTTTGTATATGTGTTTTCTCTACATGTGCATTAAAGACATTATCTCCAGCATCCTGTTGGTGTCTTATACATGCATAGGTTTCTATATGCATGCAATTGTATTTTTTTATTTGATGAATAGTCAGCCAAAACATACAAAAATGAGTTATTCATGTGGTGCTCTTGCATTGTAGACTGGACTACAACATGCCTGATCATTCTGAAAGATGGTGATAGAGCAGAGCTTTCGATACTGTGTATCACAACACAATGTGTTGGCTGCATTAATGCAGGTGTGCAACAAAAACATGAGAAACCTCAGATTCTAAGTGACATAAACAATAAATCAATTATTTTCAAAAATATAAATGAAAGATATGTTGTTCCCCTATACATTTGATTACAATTTATATATGTGCCAGTCTCTCTCGTAAGGGATTTCTTTAACCTTCAGTTTGCTAATAAAACTGAATTCCTGTGTTGCAAAATGATGCATGTCTAAATTTTATGTCACCAACATGATATCTTTGAAAGGCTCTGCAGTATAGGGTTCTTGTCTAACCAAATAATCTTGGAAGATTAAATCCTAATCCCCTCATCTTGCCTTACTGGGTAGCTGCCTGCCAAATATTAGACAAAGGCCTTTCCAACTGCATTTAGATCTTACCAATATCTATATGCAGTAAAACTGAATAATTTTGGCATCTGGACTTCAGTTTATGCATATATGCTGAATGACATGAAAATGTTTGCAACGGGTTGCTAAATTTTTTAACTCAACAGGGAGAAAACATAGGAAATTGGGTTTATTGTTGATTGATTCATATAAAAATATGGTAGGGAAGTAATAATATCACTGTTGTGCTTTGGTCAAACCTTACCTGGAATACTGTGTCAAGTTCAGGAAATATACTGAAATGCTGGAATGTATCTACAGAAGGGAGACCAAAATGGCCAAAGTTCTGAAAGCCAAACCCTGTGAGGAGTGGCTTAGGGAGTTGAGTATGTTTAGGTTGAAACAGAAAGATTGAAAGAGGGCATAATACCATGTTTACATTATTTGAAAAGAAGTTATATTGAGGATGGAGGCAAGCTTGTTTTCTACTGCTCTGGAGACTAGGGCGCAATGGATTTAAATGTAGAAAAAGAGATTCCGCCTGAATATTGGGGAGAACTTCCTGATGGTAAGAGAAATATTCTGCCTCAGAATGTAGTGGAGTCTCCTCTGAAGGTTTTTAAACAGAAGTTTGATAGCCATCTGTCAGGAGTGCTTTGACTGTATATGTCTGCATGGCAGGATGGATGGCCCTTGTAATTTCTTTCAACTCTATGGTTCTATAATTTATACTCTGACTTTCTCCCAGAATAAGATCTAAGACAGCTTCCAGAAATTTAAAGCAAGATTAAATTAAAATCATATACTACCAAAGTTTTAAAATAACTATTTTAAAAACCATGGTAATTACATTTAAAAACACATTTGGAATGAAATACTAACGACAGATTAAAAATACAGCACGGCACATCATAAGATCTTGACATTATTTTAATTTTTAATTTAACATTACAATATCTTCAGCCTTCTCACACACACATCCTCCCAACATGCTAAATGTTGTTTAGTCTTAAAGGTGCTGCCAGATTCCTTCTTTTCCCCCCTGACCTCCTTTTTATAAGGAATTGTTTTGAGTGTTTCCTTTCTTGACCACTGTAAGCTTAGCAATGTTTGTTTTGTTGTTGTTCGCTGAAAGCACTGCAGCTACTTATTATGTAGTCTGTGGATCTGGAACTCAATAGTAATCTATTCTGAGTCTGGACACAAAAATCAAATATTTTGACTTAACACTGGAGCCCTTGCAATTGTTTGAGTTAGAGCTGAAACGTAATTGTCAGAAGGTCTATATATTGTGTATAATTAGAGGGATAAACCAGAGAGAACTCCATCTTTTCACTCTCAGTACAATCTTGCTAACTAGTAGGAAAAGCATAATGACCAAGGTGAAGTTTTTGTTCCCCTTCGTTCCATTTCTTATACCACACAAATACTTTCACAGATTTCTTTTGGAACACAAATCTATCCCAATGGCTTGTAAAACATGCTTTGGAAATTCAGCACAGATTGCTTCTTTCTTTCCCTGTTCTTGCTCTTGCAGCTATTCTACTAATAAAGATCTCAAATAATTTACAAGGCAGCAATACAACTCTCTCTAAAGAAAATACCAAAATGTGTTTAAACCTCCTTTTTTAAAAAAAAGCTGTTTGGTGGAAAGTGGTAGGTTGACTGAACACCAGGGGGACCATCTAAATCAAGTGTGAGTACCATTGGTCTTACAGATGTTAAAGATTTTCTACTGTCATCTGTTTGGGACACATGTAATCTTGGAGATGGGACCCCAGTCTTAAGATGAAATTCATTTATGTTCCATATACCTTTACAGATATACAATATTTGTAATAATTTTGTTCATGAAACAACATTTGTGTACACTGAACCATCCGGCCGCAAAGGTGTCACTATCTCAGCCAC